CATTGTCATCGGCAGTCTCTCCACATTTGTGGTCGTCCGTGCTGCGAGTCGGGAATATATCCACGAGAGGTGCTCGCATCATTCTCATAGTGGTATTACTCTGCAGTGAAATTCTACTACTATAATTTGAAGGTCATGAGATTGTTTTCTGCGGAGGCATGCATCCAAGGACGTTGCAAGGTTTCATTTTTTATTCATAATGACTATTTTGCAAGTGCAAGGACGTTCAATGCGAATAACGTTGACGTGCAAAGATTAGCAGAATTTCGGAGAGCGATTAGAGAACAACCGATGTTGAAAACATTAGCGGATGACCTTGTTGACATGACAATAAAATATATGTGACATTTCCTGTTGTGGGAATATGAAAAAATAAAAACGCATATAGAATACAGGGACCCTGCATATCATGAACAAAATGATACCACTCTTTTGGAAGATTGGAAAGTTTACAATAGAAGATAGGTAGCTTAACTAAGTCCAAAGTATGATGACAAAATGTTTCTTTTAATGCAAATCGTGGTGCTATTTGTCCGGAGGTCAAACCAGAGTTGCTTTAAATTAAACACTCTGGGTCTTTCTTAAGTGATAACGCTTGGAGATGTAAGGGGACCCTGCACATCATGGACAAAATGATATCACTGTTTGGAAGATTGGACAATTTACAATTATAGAAGATAACACCTGCTAACTTTAAGTTAGTTAAGTCAAAAGTATGATGGCAAAAAAATTCTTTTACTGCAAATCGGGGTGCTATCTGTCCAGGGGTCTAACCATGTTTTTTGCTTTTATGCACTCTGGTTCTTTGAAATTCCTAACTCACAACACTTGGCGATGTAAGGGCCAGAGACCCCTTTGCAAGGCATATGATGATGGGCGCTTTGCCCAACATATGAACTTTTCAAACACAAATTTTATTTCGTGGTATTCATGTATTATTATGAATGTTATGATTTTTTTTTTTTTTGTTAACAGCATAGACTGATAGTTCTTTATATGTTTCAAAGCTCGTTAAACTTTTTATCATTATTTTTTATATATCGAAAATTTTCTTATTCTGTTCATAAATATCATCAAGGTCTGTTTTGTCGAAAATTGATAATTTAGGTATGTTCACTTTTCGTAAAATATTTTATTTTTAACGAAAACATTGTTACAAACAAAAAAACGAGAAAATTATGAAATAAAAAAATAAAAAATAAAAGAACGAGGAAATTAAGTCTCACACGGGATTGTCCTTCGGGACATCCGTTAAAATTGAAACGATACAGAGAAGATTGGCATGGTCCTTGCGCAAGGATGACACACATAAATCGAGAAATGGTCCAAGTCGCACACGGGACTGATTTCGACAATTGAACAACTCCCGTTCGTTCCCCTTTAGTGGCTTGAGGTTGCAGACATTTCGGCTCGACTCGATATGGCTCGGTTTGGTTCGGTTTAAGAGAAAGACAAACAAAAAACAAAAAAATTGTGAAATTAGAAAACAAAACAAAAATGAACAAGGAAAGTACATCGTGTAGGGGATTGATTTCGACAACTGAACAACTCCCGCTCGTTCCCCTTCACTGGTTAGACGCTGCGGACATTTCGGCTCGGTTAGCTTCGGTTCAGTTCGGTTCGCCGGTCGTTCCCCTTCTCTGACTCGAGCCTGCCGAACCTTTAGGTTCGGTTCGTACGGTGCGGTCCGACATTGTTTCACGAAGCGAAGCAAAGGGGAGGGAAGAAGATAACGTCGCCACGAACCTGCGGAGCCTTTAGGTTCGGTTCGTACGGTGTCGAGCGCATCGGCCCCCCACAGGGGGCCCTCCCGGCCGCGTCATGCAGGATTGGCAGGAACGTTTTAGGACGCATGTTATGAAGCAGCGGTGCCGCTCCGGCCGAGTGCGCCAGCTATACCTCTGTCGAGTCCCTACGACAGGATAGGGCCTCGTAAGGTACACCTTACCTCCACCTGCAGGAGCTGCCACCATCCCTTAGGTGGGCATATCCCCGCCGAGCTACTAGGTCACATGCGAAGGCTTTTACTTGCAATCACGAAGGTGGGCCAGCCGAGGGCGTTTCTCGTACGTTGTAGCATAGGGGGTACGTGCGGTCAACGCCTAGCTCGGACCCGTACTCGAGCCGTCGCGGGGGGCGCTGATCTCCCGCGCGCGGCACTACGTCGGTCGACTAGGACGGCTATCCTAACCACGCGATACTTACTTTTAACAAAACTCTAAATCAGAATGCGAATCGCGCCTAGTCCCTTGTTCCGTTTAACCCATAACCTTTTCAGGGGAATAAATGAGTAGGCGTCGGGCGTTGAACTTCGCATGAACAACGCGTCGACGCAAATCCTAATCATAGTGATTTAGCCATGAGCAAAAACACAAGCGGTCAAGATGACTGCGTACTGTGTGGTACCCATAACCACGCGCCCATTTTATGGTATCACGGGTTACGTTTGACACTCAACTGTCGGATAGCGTGCATCTTGAAGAAATTAACTTCCCGACGCAAAACGGGCACACGCGTGACTGCTTGCTCTCAGTTCTTTCGTGCTTTGTGCAGGGAATTTAACGGAGTTATAGTGCGAGGGAAAGCTTTCTGTCATCAACAGACGACAGTCACGACTTCCCATCGCGAGCATTCTCGTCCAACTATTAAAGACAAACAAGGAGAATGTCCTGGACAAAGGCCTCGAACTGACTTGGCAAGGGCTTCGAGTGTACCCATCCTTCCTGATAAAAGGAAAAATACACGCGCCCACGAGTACACAACAAACTCAGGCAGAGGGGAGAATCTGTTGTGGAGATCAGGAGAGACCACTTCTCACAATCACTAGTGTGACTTGCTCACCCAGTCACGCGCATTCACTCACTCCTTTTCAAACGATAGATCAAACCCCAAAAAAATACATACCTGCGCACACACATTCAGTCAACGCACAATCCATGCGCTAACGTGGTTAACCTTCTTGCCCCTTTACCTTGTCCCACGCACCCCCCCCTCCCATCCCTTATTCGACAATGACATAACCCACCCCCATATCATTTCATCTGTTCCCTGCATGGCCATTCATAGAAGAGCTCTGAGACGGGGTAACATCCTTTCAAGGGAAAGTCATTCGCCCATAGGGTCTTCAGGTATTTTTGGGTGCGGGTATCAAGGAAGGCGGAGGTTGAGTCGCAAACCGACCCGCTATCAGTTGATAGCAGAAGTTGAAGTTTCTCAATCCATACGAAGTGTTTCGCCAACACTCATCGCTTAGGAGAATTCCTACATCATGAAGAGGACACGAACTTGTCTCAACTACGAACGGACTCGGTCCCTATCAATCTGGGTTTTGGAAAATTTTCGGCAGCATCTCCTCTAGAAAATCACCCATCCAGAATTTAAATCAAATCAAAACAAGAAGAAGTGACCCAGATCTACATGACAACTGAGATTAGACTAACTCTCGTAGATTTTGGCAAAAAGTTCGGCAGCACCTTCCCTAGAGGAGTACGCTGTTAGGTATTTTGCTAAACTCCAAAGAGCGGATTACCCTAGACCAAATATCAAGCCTATTTCGACTGACCCCTTAGAATTAGTAAAAATTCCGGCACCATCCCGTTTAGAGAAGTCGGCCGTCAGAATCTGTACTAACTCAGAGACTAGTCCCAGAATCAAAATGCAAAAGTACAAAGGCAGCTGACATGTGGGTAGCTGAATTACCTATCGCTTAAGCACTCGGCGAGCTCTAACAGGTTAACCTATCCATCTACAATGCGCAGATTAAAACAAGGCAGAACAATATCAAGGCACATGACAAGGCAAACACAATATGACAAGATTCATTCATGAAAACAGACTCATCCTTCTGCTCTTGTGTGAGATCTTAGCCTTTCAGTTTTCTGTATTTTATTTGCTCCTTATTTCTTTTCAAAAGTTGAATGAACTCGACACACACCTTAATTGTCAAAAATCAAGTGAGCATCTGGTCAGGGGATCATCCTTGTCATGCACCTAATTCTAGAATTAATAAAAACACAAGTCCTGGGCCTGTTCCTCTTCGGCCTCGGCCCAGGCCCAAAAAACTCACACAATCTGCACACATCATTCAAACAAACTTCTTTCTTTCCTTTGCGCTTTTACTAAATGTTCTCTCACGACACCTGGGCTTGTTCCTCTTCGGCCCTAGCCCAGGCTTGTGGAATTCACACACCAAGCAAATCTTTGTCATAGATTCAACTCACAACACTCCACAATACCTGGACATGTTCCTCTTCGGCCCTGGTCCAGGTCTAGGAAGCTCATATAATGAAAAGTTGCACATCAAACAAACCTTTTCTTTAAATACTGTTTCACGAAACCCGGACCCGTTCCTCTTCGGCCCTGGTCGAAGTTCACAAATTTTATGTTATCCCCAGCAGTGTTTTCTTCTTTCAACGTCAGCTCACAGTCCTTCGCAGTGCCCGAACCCATTTCTCTTCGGCCCTGGTCCAAGCCTGAGAAGGCTTGACTGTTACAATGACATAGTAAATTTCCCTTTTTCAACGCCAACCTGGACCTGTTCCGCTTCGGCCCCAGCCCAGGTCAGAGACACCCAAATCCCCCACAAACAACATAACGAGATAAGTTCCCTCTCTCAGATTAAGGACGCTCTCTCTCAATTACTTGGGCCCGTTCCTCTTCGGCCCTGGCCCAGGCTAGAGAGACTTGTGTTATCACAAACCAAACTTTCTTCTTTTAACATCCAACAAACATCCCTTCACCTTTTACCTGGCCAGTTCCTCTCCGGCCCTGGCCCTAGGCTTGGGAAGGTTCAAAACCATTCAAATAGGATGGCAAAATAAAACAAATTGTTTCTCAAACTTAAACAGATTATTTGCATGCCTAGTTAATTTAATTGGATTCTGATTAAATCCCGAATAAAATAAAAAGGGCATATTTATGCCAATCAAACTCAGTGAGTATGAAAACGGGAATACAACGTAGGGGTCAATCGGGAACTAGCGCCCATCGCGTCGGCCTACCTCTCAATTCCCCGCCTCTGGGGTCCCGCCTGGATCCCAGTAGAGCTCCCACAATCTCGTGGGCTCCTGAGGTCCCACGGAAAAAGTCAAAACACAGCCTAGTCAGGATAGGATCCCACTAGTTGTCCTCCTCTCCAAAAGCCTTGCAAGAAGATCGAAGAGTAAGGGGGAAAGAAGAGTCGCTCAAGATACTCAAGGTTCTGAGGAAAGGTTGCTCAAGCACTTGCGAGAGGGCCTCCAACATAAAGTGACGTGCAAGCTCAAATTTCTGAAGGCTGATGATGCAATAGCCCCTGCCAATCCCAGTCAGCAGCATCACGAGCATGCATGTCGCGCACTCCCACCTCAACGAGAAAGATGCCGTAGAAGATGGTCATGCTAAACCGACAAGATCGACCACAAACTTCTAAAGAAAAACGGCCATGACACTACTCCTTGTTGAACCAGACTCCCCTCACGTGGAGCCCCTAGTGCTTGTACCGGCCAGACCGCTACGCAAACGGAAAAACTCACGTGGCCAATCAATCCGCAGCGCCTCAAAACCCCTATTCAGCACCTTTACTCACCCGAATCCATTAAGGAACCTTTGAGCTATGCAATTTTCACTCCCGTTTTCCCCCTTTTCTCCCTGAAGCTCTCCCTTTGTTCCTCCTCTTCCTCCTGTTTCGGTGCACCTGGCCAGCTCCCTGACCAGGTTTATACCCCACCTGGTGAATATAAGCAACAACGCAGCCCGCTTGACATGGGGCGGAACAGCCCAATAGGAAGCGTGACGAAGTCCGTCTGCAGGGGCGCAACCACAGACGATGAGGAGGACAACAGCCACAACCGTGGGGATCGCCGCGCTGCTCACCAAATGTACAAAATGAGGATGAATTTCCAGCCAGTTTGTGGAAAGATACGCTGCCCTTACAGCTTCAGTCCCCACGCCAGGTAAGTATACCCAATCCTATCCCGCTGCCCCCTGTCTTCCCCGTCATGTCCATATTTACTATCTCCCCCTCCTTCCAGCCGTGTTATCTCCCACACCTCTGTCGGACTCGCCCTCGCCATTCACCTCTTTTCCCGCTCTTCGTCCCCGTAGCTATTAACTGCGCTTCTCAGTTTACTCCTTCGTACGCTGCTGCTACCTTCTTCACTGACCAAACCACCAACCTAACATGAAAACTAACACCACAATCGGCCTTGCACTGGCCTAGAACTGCAGTTTAGTACCCTCCCGCGCTTGATTTCATTAAGACTCAAGTGAGATATGCGTTTTTCCATTCAAGCCATAGCCACACTCTCAATACCCCGTGCACCTCCTTCCCGTCTCATAGCATCCCCAATACTGCTCCAACTCCCAAACTAACACTACCATTCAACTCGCAATACCCCAAAACCCTTAGTTTGCCTCTTTCCTTGTCCGATTTCGTTAAGAATCGGATGAGCTGGGTAATTTCCCATCTGCCATACTATCCACCCTCCTCGGCACCTCCGCACAGCTCACTTTTCTACTAACTTTCTCTCTACTAACCTAGCACTAAAACTAAGGCTACCACTGAATTCGCCTGGCCCAAAAATGGCAGAATAGCATTTTCCCTTGCTTGATTCCGTTAGGAATCAGGCAAGATAAGCGTTTTCCACCACTTTTCCTTCTTCTTCCTCGTTGCCTCCGCCTTCTTCTTCTTTGCCCTTTTCAGTTGTTGTCAACTCCAGGCTTGTTCTCTTCTCCGATTAGCGCATGGTCCTACAACAACTCTTCAACTGCGGAGCATTTTTTTTGGAAAAGAAAAAGAGGCCCATCCCAGACTTGTGCGTGTCACTGTTGCGTAGAGGCCATGCTAACCTTCTCTGTGTCGTTCCAATTTTAACGAATGTCCCGAAGGACAAACGACAGTCCCACAGTGGAACTGTGCAGGATCAGATCCGAGACTGAGTGTGTATTTTAACAGTTCAGAGGTTTACCAGCTGAGCTAGGTCCGCAGGCACCGATCCCACAAACCTGTTTTACACAGTCTGTGTGTGTGCCAGCTGAACTAGGTCTGCTGATACTGCTGGTGCTGCGGAAATGACCCTGCCTACTCATCTCTATCCAGTGGTGCCTGCGCTCGGGCCTGTTTTTCAGCAGTTTGCAGGTGTACCAGCTGAGTGGGTAGCAGCCAAAACAAGACCTGCCTCCCCCTGCAAAGCACAACTTTTCAGTATTCCACCCATCTATTTCCAGCGGAGCCCGAACTCGGGTCTGTTTTTCAGCAGTTTGCAGGTGTACCAGCTGAGCCAGATCCGCGGGCGGTGGGCAAGATAAGCCCCACTTCCCCTGTTTCTGCGGTTTCACTCCACATTCCTCCACTGCTGCCGCGTGGCGAGTTCACCCCTGGAGTCCGCTGGCCAGCAGTCGAACCCCTTACTTGACTGGGCCAGGCCCATGCCCGGGGTGGGTCTGCGCAGATCTCTACGAGTACCACCAACGTCAGGCCCGAGTGTACCAAATCCCACTAGCGGTGGAATCGGATGGTCCTAACTTTGTTGCCGTGCCAATAGTGAAATGGTAGACCTTCCTAACCTCTCATTGGCCATCAACTATTCCAAGTATTCTTTCTCAGCGCCGGAAGGGTTTCCGTTCCTAGACTATATTCCGTTGGGTTAGGGATGAAAACCGGTTCGGACTTTGGTAAGGAATCGAACCCAATTCCGCACACCCGCAACACTCGTCAGCATAACTTGCCCATTCCACTAATAATGGATCTTATAACCGGACCCGATCATTGTATAGATGTAAGACAAAAAAAAACCAAAAATTTAATCAAAAATAAAAAGAAACGGAAATAAATAAGATAAACGCAATAAAAAGGGAGCCGCGGAAGCGACAGCCGCACGCCAAAATACCCTCCGCACGCCGATCAAACAAGGCCTATACCGGACCGGGCCTCGTAGCCCACCGGCTATATACAGCCTCGTGGACACCCTCGGCCGACGGTCGAGGTTTACGCCAAACCATTTGTTACGGCATACGCCGTAGCAAGGGCTGATGTGTATTTCTAGCGTACGCCATTCGTACGCACCGCTGTGCGGGCCCATAAATCACCCCGCCGACTCATACGGTCGACGGTAGCCTAGTTATCTCTTGCGTGTCGCAATAATGCGTGCCCCATGCACACTCTCCAATCCTAGCTCTACTCACCCTCACCGCCCCGACTACGGCAGCTCAGGCCGGCGTCCCGCAGAAAAAAATAATAGGCGCGGCACTATCCCACTCATCATCGCTGGTACACATTCCGTGACCTTCACAAATGATGGCAAATACCCTTGTAATGGTGTTTGCCACGACAATGGTGAGGTCCGACAATGTTTCACGAAGTGAAGCAAAGGGGAGGGAAGGAGATTACGTCACCACGAATCTGCAACCAACATCCCCTTTTTTATAATGATAGGAAGTCAAGACCTGGAGGCCCGGTCCGGAAACAACACCCGTCTATGAGGAAGGTCGGTATGGGTAAAATTCGAAATGGGGACTTTGGTCTGGACCGTTATGTCTAAGTACCTGTTGATTATAACGAAAGACTGTTTTTTTTAGCTGAGCTACCGGGTCTAGTGCCGGATTCCGAACATATAATTCTTGCAGCTGACCGTAATACTATCCTGAACCCAGGATTAGACAGTCCCAAAGTGGGTCCAATCAGACTGGATATTAGACTGTTGCACAATTTCATAATATCACAAAATCTGGTCGATGCCTACCGAATGCTCCACCCAATCACCCAAGCTTGCATTTGGTTTGGTTCACAAACCCCACCAGTCCGAAGAAGAATGAATTATCATTTGATGAAAGGTCAATCATGGAAATATTGTACAAACTTGGATATACACATCTTAAACCTTTCAAACCACAAACTAGTGGTAGAGGCTTTCCAAATCAATGGAACCCCCAAAAGGGCCCCAGGCTATTACAAATTGAATGTATCTCTGCTGAAGGACCCAGGTATAATTCACTAGGCGCATAACCAATTAGAGGTCTGGCAGGGAGTTAAAGAGTTGTTCTGCTAGGAGAATGACTAGGTGGAGGTGGAAATTCATATACTGCAGCAAGCATTCAACATTTTTTTTGGGATTAAAACACAGAATCGAAGAAGGGAGGAAAATATATCACTTATAGAATTGAAGCTGTAGAAGAGAGACAGGGTTATGATGATGTTTCAGATGGGTATTGGACAATGGTATGGAAACGACTACTGGTCAAACTGGAAATAATGCATATTCAAGAATCGAAAAAGTAGAAAGAGTGGCTGAGCCAAAAAAACATTGTTACAGGTGATAAATTAACTAAAGAAATATTTCGTCATCTGATACTATAAAAATCACACCCACCAATGAAACATTGTTACACCCATTCTCCGCCCATCTGATAGTTTTCGATTTCGCCCATCTGATAGTTTTCGATAATCTACATCAAATGTGTAAATTTGCCAAACTTTATTTTGAAGATGTATTAACAACTCGACGACAGTATGATGACATGGATTCGACCTAAGAATAACAAGCACCTTTTGAAATCGCTCTAATAATAAGATATCTCTTAAAGCACGCTTGGATCGTGATAAACCATTGACGCTAGAGGAGGTATCAGTAGCTGCCAGTAGAATGGCTTAAGGTAATGTCCCGGGGAAGATGGTTTCCCAATTGAGGTGTATGTGGTTTTATGACCTCAATTAGCTCCAATGTTATTGAGTATATTTAAATAAAGTTATTACAGAGGGCAAATTAAATAAAAGTACGACAAAAGGGGTATTTTCTCTGTTATATAAAAAATGAGACAAGAAACAAATCTAGAACTGGCGACCGATTTCACTTCTAAATGCTTCATACAAACTGTTGACAAAAACTCTGACTTTACGGTTAACAAAATACCTGCCAGACTTGATTGGTAAAGAACAAGGGGACTTTGTGAGACATAGAAGTATAACTGAAAATATTGTTACAAGTGTCCTTCTCTAATAACTCAAAGTTTCAAGATGCCTTGTTGGTGGAAAAGTATTGCAACCGAATAACAAGTCGGAAGCAGACAAAATATCTGTATCTACTGGGTC